GGTTGATTCTATGATTCTATGATTAGACATCAGAAGGGGCTCTGCAGGGAGGTGGTGGACTCACCACCCCTGGAGGTGTTTAAGGACAGACTGGACATGGCACTCAGTGCCATGGTCTGGTTGACATGGTGGTGGTGGGTCACAGGTTGGACTTGATCACCTCAGAGGTCTTTTCCAGCCTAAATGATTCTGGGATTCTGTGATGTGCTGAAATGTTCCACAGCTCCAGTGGATGACACTGTCAGCAAGAAAGGCCTTGCTGTTCAGTATTCCAAGTGATCCAACTCTGACCATCCTTGAGTGTGAAGCTGTGCAGTCATTGTACAATCTGGCTGTTTTTCTGTAGGAAAAAGAGCAGCACCTGTTCAAGATGGAAAATGAGTGGCTTGAGAGGGAGAAACGTCACAAACAGGAGGAGTACAGGGAAATATTGCTCAGAGCAGCACAGGACAAGAAGAATAGTCTCAACAAAGAAAGACAGAGTGAACTTGCCTTAGAGACAGAGATATTGGAAAAATGCCTTCAGGACCCTCAGAAGGATGCTGAGGAGAAAACAAAAAGAAAAGTAAGCGTGTTCATTGTGATGTTTTGGGGCAACATCTCATTTACAGTAATGCTGTGATCCTTAGTGACCTGCACAGTGTAACTGAGAACAGACACAAGGCCTTTTCCCTGGATGAGCTGATTCTTTTGTTGCCTCTCCTCCTGCCAGCACTTTGCTCCTCTGCAGAAGCCCATTATCTGTTAAAACCACAGCCAGCACTTTACAGCATGCTCTGCAATCAGCAGGGCTACCAGGCTGAACAAAAGAAGGATAGCTCTCAGGAAACCTTGGAATCTTGTCCCTCTGTGCTGATTTCATGGTGTATAAATCATATCCTTATACTGCATGGACGTAATGGAGGTTGGAAAAGTATTTGTTGTTTCATGGACCTGATTTAGTAAATATTTGTAACTGCAGAAGAAAGTAGTGTTTACTATAATATCTATTTAACTTATTCTGATTAATGAGTGAGGGATGTGCCTGTCACTTCCTGAATTTAAAACAAGTACGTTGTCCAGCTTCAAATGGGTCTCCAGGTAACACTCAGGCAGAGCAGAGAGCTGCATCCACTGCTCTGATCATGGTGTTTGGAAGCTCATGTAGGTTAGGAAAGTTGTATAAACTCAATGCTAGACCTTGGTGCAAAAGTAGAGGAGGTGATAAATATTGTATTTATTGGATCCCAAAGGCTTCTAATGCAGATGATGAGGAAGCATCCAGGTCAGCTGTGGAAAATCTGTACACTGTGTTGTAGGCAGTGGATTCCTAAAGGCTTTGCTCTGCTCTTAAGCTGTTGTCCGAACACTGTCAGCTGGCCAGGGAGAAGATTCTGTCCATCTCTGTCCCATGGCAGGGTCTGGAATGGAGCTCTAGTCTCCCAGTTCCCGCATTGTGTGTGACCCACCACTTCCTCTCGGGTTTTAAAAGGCCTTTTTGAACGATTTTACTCAAAGCTGCAAATGTCTGTGTGTTTGCAGCGAGAGCTGCAAAGGGAGCAACAGGCTTACCTGGCACACCTGGCTCAACAGCTGGAAGATGAGAAAGAGAGAAAGAAAGAAGATGAGAAGCTCTTCAAAGAAGAGAATGATCAGGTTTGGGCCAAGAGAGCTGAGCAAATGAAACGAGACAGGGAGGCTCGGAATCAGCTGCTGAGAGATGTCATGAGCACGAGACAACTGCAGGTTGCAGAGAAGTGTAAGTGGTAACAGCTCTCTGCCTGTGCCCCAAACCTCCACACACCTTGGCAGAGGCAGCAAACACATTGCTGCTGGGAAGAGCATCTGGCCCTGCACACATGGGCTGTGGGGATGGGGGCACACCCCTGTGAGCTGCCAT